TTCCCGTCCATTTTAGTTCACTGACACCCAGGATGTCAATGTTTATTCTTGCCATCTCCTGTTTGACCACATCCAGCTTACAAAGTTTCATAGATCTTATATTCCAGGTTCCTATGCAGTATTTTTCTTTGCAGCATCGGACTTTCCTTTCACTTACAGGCACGTCCACAGCTGAGCGTCCTTTCGGCTTTGGCTCAACCACTTCATTAGCTCTGGAGCTACTTGTCTTCCGCTCTTCCTCAGTAGCATGTTGGACGCCTTCCAACTTGATGGGCCCATCTTCCAGTGTCATATCTTTTAGCCTTTTCTTTCTGATCATGGGTTGTTTTTGGCAAAGATATTGGAGTGGCTTGCCAGTTCCTACTCCAGGTGGATCGCATTTAGTCAGAACTCTCCACTATGACCTGTCTGTCTTGGGTGTCCCTAAATGGCATAGCCCATAGCTTCTCTGAGTTACTCAAGCCCCTTCGCCACGACAAGGCAGCAATCCGTGAAGGGGCATGAAGCCCAAAGCAGAGTTCTGTGATCCCGTGAAGCCCAAGGCAGAGTTCTAAAGTTTCTTTAGCCAATCAGCTGTGCTAAGGGGGGTGGGGGTGGATCAGGAGATCCAAGCTCTTAAGTAGAAATAGGACTGTTTTTTAAGGATGTTAGAAATGGGGCATTGCCAGGGAGATTAAGAGGCCATTCGCTGATAGCCCTGCAAGACAGGTTGTGATTCAGCATTAAGGGGGCTGCAGTGTCTAAACTGTACCTGTGGGAAGCATTGGATGTAGGTTGGTTGTGCTGGAGTTATTTGGTTGGGCGAACAGAGACTGAGGTTGATGGCTGTGTGAATGAAGGTGGAGCTTTAGGGAGATGCCTTGCAAGGTTGCGGGGGGCACTCTGTGTTCAGCAGAGTAAATGGAATGTGCTGTTTCAGAGCAGGTACACAATCACTTTAGGGAATACGAAGTCGAATACCTGCAGTTTGCCTTTCGCTGGATGAACAATTTACTAATGAGAGAGCTTCCTCTTCGCTGCACAATTCGCCTTTGGGACACTTACCAGGTATGAGACTTTATCTACCTATGTGGGGGTAACTTGCCTTGGTATACATGTGTATTGCTGCCACGGATTGCTGCCCTATCTGCTGTAGGCATTTTTCACTCTCAGCAATGGCTTTATATGGGGATAGGTTGTACCATTAGCTGTCATGTCAGTATATTCCTACAAAGATATAAAAAATACTCACACATGCACATCACCCATAAAATGTGGAGAAGCACTGAAATCCAGGTTGTTCTTTTCTAACTCTAAATATTTTTCCTTTTTGATTTTTCACAGTCTGAGCCAGAGGGGTTCTCTCATTTCCATTTATATGTTTGTGCTGCATTCTTGATTAAGTGGCGGAAAGAGATCTTGGATGAAAAAGACTTCCAGGTAAATCTTGAGGTGATAGCCACATTTGGGAGGGAATGCACCATGATTCTCTTGCTTGAGAAATTTATCTGCCTGTTCTGAAACAAGAGACTGCAACATGAACAATACATCTGCTATAAGAATATATGAGAGAAATTAGCTGATCCAGAGCTGAAATCCAGATACTTTCTATGTGTGCAGTCAGTGCAGCAATCACCCTGACTGTGCAGTTTTGTAAACGTGTTAGAACAAAAATAAAATATTAATTTTTTTTGGAATTTGATTCCAATTCTGAAATGCACAACATTATTTTCCACCTGTTGACATGGTCACCATTGTCCCATTCCCTTTAAAGTAGTACAGATCTGTTATTTGGTGTTTGTGATGCATACTTTATGAAACACAGTGTGGATTAATGTTTCTCCATTAGCTGAGGAAGCTGGACATGTCAAGCCACATAAATGTAAATGGAAGTTTTGTTTGTTTAAGATAAGATTCACACCTGGCTGCTACCTCTGTGCTAAGTTCCTTTCTTTTTTTTTCAGGGCCTTCTCATGTTGCTACAAAATCTGCCCACAATACACTGGGGCAATGAAGAGATTGGACTCCTCCTTGCAGAAGCCTACAGGCTCAAATATATGTTTGCAGACGCCCCCAACCATTACCGCCGATAGGTCACAGGGTTCTGCCTCTGCTCCCTTTATGCTGGCCCAATCCCAATCACTGTGGCATTTCATCATTCTAGTCCTTGGGCGCTTTCTGACCAGGAGCCACCTGTTGCTGTAAAAAGCTTACAACAAACCTCCGTCTTAACTTTTGCGTGTGCCTGCCTGCCACTTCATGTGTGGATGTGCCATTAGTGTCCCGTGCTATGGTGGTGGCGTGAGCTCAAGGACTCGGGACTGGACAAGTAAACTCCAGGCTCCAACCTGGACCATCAAAGCCTTGCAGCCTCTTTCTTGTTAATTCGCCTGAGCACTGACACAGTTGCACACTCCAAACTGGGCCTGTATTCTCTTGTTTCTTCAGATGCTGTTCAATCAAACTCCCCAATGAAGATGCCTTACAAAGAGTTCCGCCCAGGCAATGGCAGTGCCATTGGACACTAGAAGCTTTCAGGGGCTAGCTTCACTCAGCGTGTCTGAAGAAGTACAGCATTTCAAGAGTTAATCACAGACACACACACACACACACACACTCCACACACACACACACAGTCCACACACAGTCTTATGTGCAGCATATCTCTGCAAAGTTGGCGCACATGTGTTCAAACATCTGTCTTGTCCATGCACAGTTTGGAGTGACATAAATGAGCAAGACAGGACTCTTCCTGTGATTGACTGACTGACTGACTGACTGATGTGCTGTGTGAAATGAAGTGGAGGGGGGAGAGCTCTGCTTCAAAAATTCTCCTCTCCGTGACAATGATACTCCTCCAAGGCATTATGTGTATATTGTGTTCTTGTGTATATGGGTCAAAGATGTACAATATAAGTCTTCTGTTTGTAGCAGATATGATTTTATATTTATAATGTGAGTTCCAAGTGTGTAAAGGCTGCCTAGGTTACTAATAACAGTGGGTCTCCTGCCTTCCCCTGCTCATCAGGGTTTCCGGAGCTCTGGGCCCATCTGCACTAGCACGTTTCTGCTGGCCCTCTTCCCAAACATGCACATTTCATTTCTGTCAGGAAATATTTGACTCCAAAGCAAAATCCTGCTGAGTGAAAGTCCAGTGCATACCTGCGAGCGTGGGCACCTTGGACTTGACAGGATTCGATCTGAAGGATGCTTGCAATACCTATCAGCACTTGAGCACACTCTTTTCGAGAAAGCACTGCAGTCCTTAGAACTCCTTCAGCAATGCAGCTGTGAGTAAAATCCTGCCTGTATATTGCTCTAGGTTGCTTCTTGAGACAGGTAATGGATCCCACCCTCTCTGCCTCCCCGCTCCCCAAACTTGATTGGAGTCTTCAGCTGTCTCTTCAAGTCTTGGGGTAGCGGGGAGGGGAGATGGGCTTCTTGTTTCAATGCTATGAACTTGTGAGGAGATAGGAAGAAATGGTGGCTTTTTCTACTAAATTCCTTTCTTACCATTGTCTCAGTGTGACTTTTGACCAACAAAAGGTTGTTTTGTTTTGTTTTTAATTTAATAAGTTTATTCCAGCCAGCAGACAAAGTCTTATTTGTGCCAAGCCTTGACCTCTGGCTTCTGTTCATCTCACTAGGCTTCCAACAGCACCATCCTCAGTTGTTTTTCCCCCTTGTTGGGGCCAAAAAACAAAAGCAACCCTGTGGTTTTTAGCCAGTGGTAGTACCAGGGATATTGGAGGCGCATCAAGGCAGAGGAGCTTTGTTGCCATTTGAACACCAAGCAGTGTCCTCACAAGTGGCTTTCCAAACCTGGAGTTGTTTTCTCAGCCATCCTAAATTGATTTTCTTTTCTGTGTGTGCCTTTTGTTGCTTCCTCTGAGACAGCGATCTGGTGGTCGTTAGTTTAACATGACTAATTAAAAAAGAAAACCAACCCAAGTTGCTCATCTTTTCTTCTTGGTAGGTTTTGTGAGATTGTGAGTAGGCAATAAAACTTTTGAGTATCTTTCTCCCTTTCCTGAATGAATCTCACACTGCAGCGCACTCCAGTTCAAGGTAAGCTTAACCCTCACCTACCAGGTTAAAAAAAAAACTTGCATTGAGTGAGTTTGGGGGTATCTTCTGACCTCGTGAAAATTTCAGTGTATTCAGATGTCCAGTCCATCTGAAGGAGATGACTGTGGTCCAGAAATGCTTAAGCCAAATAAAACTTCTTGGTTTTAAAGGTGCCACAAGACTCTTTGTTATTTTCACTCCAACATGGCTGTCTTCATGGAAATATACCGAGAGTTAGTAGTAGGAGTCATTCACCAGAGTTATGAGGGCCTCACATAAACAACCTCAGAGCTTGGAGGGCCAGTCCCGTTATGCCTACCTCACCTTAAGCATTTCTTATACAGTGGTACCTCGACTTAAAAACTTAATCCGTATTGGGACTGCGTTAAGTTGAAATGTTCTTAAGTAGAAGCGCCATTTCCCATAGGAATGCATTGAAAACCATTTTATCCATATCTGCTGTTTTTCGTTCTTAAGTCGAGGCACTGTTCTTAAGTCGAAGCATTAGTTCCCATAGGAACTAATGCAGAGCCGGTTAATCCGTATCTACCGCTAGGGGGTGAATTTCTAATGCAGAGCCGGTTAATCCGTATCTATCGCTAGGGGGTGAATTTTTTTTTTCTTTTGACCTAAGGTGAGCTTAGGTCAAAGAAAAGGGCAGGAAAGGTGGGTTTTCTCCTTTTTGTTGTTGTTCTTAAGTTGAGGCGCCATTCTCAAGTCAAAGCAACTGTTTGCGAATGGAGCCGTTCTTAACTCGAATCGTTTGTATGCGGGGACGTTCTCAAGTTGAGGTACCACTGTATAAATTTATTTTTTAAAAAAACTACAAAAGCCTCTTTCTAATTTTCTAAAAAAATTAATTTTGTTGTGTGAACAAGGGGTGCTGGAGACCCCACAAAACATGGTAAAATTCAAAGACATTCTTTACAACTCTTTAGGTCAATGGTTCTTAACCTTGGGTTACTCAAGTGTTTTTGAACTGCAACTCCCAGAAACCCCAGTCAGCACAGCTGGTGGTGAAGGCTTCTGGGAGTTGCAGTCCAAAAACACCTGAGTAACCCAAGGTTAAGAACCACTGCTTTAGGTGACCTTGCCATAGAATGCCTACCTTTTAGGTCTAATTCTGTGATGATTCTCTAACTGTATATGACACTGGGAACTAAAATGTCCTATCCTGAGCCATGAGGGTTAATTTCCACTGTTATTTCTTTTTGAAGTTCCATTCTAGGCTTTTCTCCTGCTCTTGAAGCAAGAATTCATTGACCTATTTTACATCCGAGTTAGCTTAGTCATCACTTAGAATAGGGGCAGGGAGTGACTGACCTTTCAGAGTTAGACTACATCTGTTAGCTTTAACCAGCCTAAGCCAAAGTTAAGGGATAATGGGAGATTCAGTCCATTACCATCTGATGGGCTGCATGTTTGTCATCCCTGTGCTAAGCATTATCACTTTGGGCATAAATATGGAATCGCATCATCTCAAAAAGGGAGCCAAGATTGAATTTTGTTAGCTTTAGTGGAAGGAGCTTGCTGTCTTCAGGCTCCCTATAGGCAGCAATTTGGGCACAATGGAAATGGAATGCTGAACTAAATAAAATTTTGGTCTGATTCAACACGGTTCTTCTACCTTCCCACTCCAGTGTCGTGCCAGAATGACTGGTGTAGCAGGACAGTGGCTTTAGAGATCAAAGGGGAGTTTAGTTTCTCTGCAAAGGTTACACCAATGAGGAGGGTATATGAAATATGAAATAGTTCATGCCATTTGGGGCATTCAGAGATAGTAATCTGAAAGCTGCTTGAGCCAGTCTGCTAAAGCTGGAGCTAAGCCTAGTGTCAAGTAATGTGCAATAGCAAAAGCTGAAGTAAGTGTCTCTTTAGGCAGGCTGGGAAAATTAATGCAATGATTAACCAGCATGTTGTCCTGAAAAGGTAGCTTGGGAGCACTGGCAGCTTTGCTTCAGGCTCATTCAAGAGAATCTTGGGGCTTCCCATATAAGAGATGAATCCTTCAAAAAGTGGCCTGCTAATGGCAGCCATTATAGGTTGAAGAGGGTCCATGTGGCCACAGGATTTCTTGCTTAGACCAGCTGTTCTGAGTTGATACCATGTGTCATTCAACACATTTGAACACAGGAAACAATGAAATCATTATTATGCTGTGGTACAGCTTTCCAGTTTACTCCCATTAATATTTACTACCACCCCCTATGCCCAGAAGGTGATTCTGAATCTCTCAAGTAAAGCTCACAGCTGGATACTGGACATCCTTCCATTTTTCATGCAGACCGGGCTGGGCACAGCAGGTCACTCCAACTTTCTGTCTCTTGCCCCAAGTTAATTACTATTAAAATAAAAAGTTCACTGGAGTGGAACAAACGTAATTACTTTTTGGAAGCCTAATTATCTGCATTTATTGCTAGTGCTTTGTTGTAATTGATTGCTAATGGTCTGCTTCGCTCTGGAATTATCTAATTAATACCTCCACAGAAGAGATCAGACTCCAGCCTGAAACTCCGCAGTCCTGATTGCAGTTGTCTCTTGTTCTGGTGTGTCTGTTGGGCTTTGTTTACACTTGGTTGCATCTTTGAAGTGCCTGAGCACATAGGCTCAGTTCCCTTGCCATCATAGCACTAGGCACTGTGTTTTCTACTGCAAAGCTGAGCTTTCTTACTGTTGGAGGCAAATCCCAAATGTGTTTATTGGGACATTCTCGGCTCATTTCATTCTGTCAGTATCCTTATCTTCTCACAAATTGCACTTCCTGATAATGGCTGTCCTCCCTCCCCTCCTTTAGAATGCCATCATTTTGTACAACCTTAAATTTCTCTTCCAAAGCACTGAGTGTTGTTTCAAAACAAAGGAGGGAAAGTACAAAGTGGTTCAATGTCCTGTTTGCTTGTTTGTTTAAGTGCCTCCAACTTATGCAGTGCTAGGAATGAGTGACCTCCAAAATGTCATATCATTAAGAGCCTTGCTCAGCTCCAACACATTCAGATGTAGTATCTAGTAATTCATTCTAAACCAGGGCCTTGGAAAGGTCTTTCTTTGCACTGCAGCTCCCAGAATCCCCCATCCAACTGGTTAGAGGAGCTATAGTTTAAAAGAGAATTTTTTCTGAGCCCCTGACTCTTATCAACTCATTAGCTGTGGTTTGTTCGTGCATGTATATTTATAATCTTGATTTCCCAGGACTCTAGTCAGCATGCTCCTTAAATCCGTGGACTGATGCCCTTTTGTTTCAAGAGTTATATGAATGTTAGGTTTACAGTGTGTGATCTGGGATGGGTTGCTCATCTTTGCCAATCTTCATTTGATGCTGCAGTCATTTGATGATGAGCATGCATGGGGAAACAAATCCTCCCAAATGCACATAAATTGCTCCTCAGTGGCTGTTAATCCAACTAATTTACAAAGTATGTTGGTATTCTGTAATGTTTTTATGTATCTACCGCTATGGATCCCCAACTCAATAAATAAAACCACAGGTAAGATGTTTTCCCACTGACTTGCCAGAAACAAAAGAATAAGGAAAAGACAAGGTGTCTCCCGCAACTCACATTTTTGCCTTCCATTCAGAGTACAATACTATGAAACATGAAAAGTTGTTCTCCACATTTTAGGGATTATTGTTCCTATTCAAGGAATCTTGAACTTCCATTGAGGGGAAGGGAGATAGGTCTTTCTCTGCAGCCACCCCCCTACTCCAACCCTGCAACAGACCTCACAGAACTTATCCGGAACCACCATACACCATCACTGCTAAGAAATCTGCTCCCCCTTCTTCTTTTGACATGCAATATATAAGAAGTCTGGTTTGTACAACCTCTACTGAAGATTCTAAGAGGACAAGAAGACACAAGCTAGTTTAGACAGAGAACACAGTAGAAACTTAATTGTGTGTGAGAGTGAATGAAAATGGAAGTAAAGAAGCCAGCAATTTAAATTACTGTATAGTTAACACAGAGCCAGGAACCGTTGAGGGTGGGGTTTATTTTTCCTAGGAAGAAGTATCAAAGTAGATTACCTCAGTTGTGCAATGAAGAATATCACAAAGAGTATTAAGGATTGTGTCATGTCGCAGTTAATAGGTTCACATGCTTGGCAGTTGCAATCCCATCTTCTGTAGGACCTTGATTCTGTACAGAGAAAGGAAAGATGGATATTTCCCTAAGAATCACCTCCGTTTTTCAACACTATTTAATAAAAGCCATTTTGGAGCTAATTCCTTTGTCCCGACTGATATATACAAAGGCAACTTGATCTATATAGAGTTAATTTTATGGTGCTACAATATAGACTTGTACCCTTTGCTCAAAACTTTTGTTTACATTTCTCTGCAACCTCTCTCTCTCACACACACACCCCTTTCTTTCATCTGAAACAAAACAATTCAGAGCAGTTTGCAGCTTTTGAGATTTTAATATAAGAATAATAGAAATAATGGAGTTAGAAGGGGCCTTATAAGGTATCAAATCCATCCCTCTGCTCAATGCAGAAATCCAAAGTATAGCTGACAGATAGTTGTCTAATTCTCTCTTTAATGCCTCCAGTGTTGGAGCATTCATCACCTCCTGAGGTAAATGGTTTCACTATCATACTGCTCTAACAGTTGGGAAACTTTTCCTGATGTTCACCTAAAATCTGGCTTCCTATAACTTGGAACACTTGAGAATGATCCTGTTCTTCCTCTGTATGACAACTCTTCAGCTATCTTTTATCAAGGCTAAACAAGCCAAGTTCTTTCCTCAGAGGGCAAGTTTTGTAGTTCCCTGATCATCTTTTTTGCCCTCCTCTGAACTTGGTCCAGTTTACTGACGATGAGGCCTAACCAGTGCCGAATAGAGAGGAATTAGTACTTCACAGGGCTCAGGGACTATACTTCTGTCGATGCAGCCTAAAATAGTGTTTGTCTATTTTGCAGCCGTATCACATTGTTGGCTTATATACACCTTTAATCTACAACAGTTCCAAGATTCTTCTTGTGTATATTATTACTGAGCCAAGTATCCCACATCTTATAACTGTGTGTTTGGTCCCCTCGCCCTGCCCCCAGTGTAGAACTTTGCACTTGTTGCTGTTAAATTTCATTCTGTTGTTTTCAGCCAGGGCTCAAACCTATCAAGAACTTTTTGAATTTTGTTTCAGTCTTCCAAGACGTTAGCTATTCCACCTA